TCAAGGCACTGTGCTAGGGCCCACTCTGTTCCTGATCCACATCAATGATCTACCGCAGCTTCTCCGGTCGCCGTGTACCTTGTTTGCGGACGACATGAAGATTTGGAGAGAAATCGACGCTCCCAATGACTGTGGCCTACTTCAGCAAGATCTCAACCGCTTATCCACATGGTCTGCAGAAGTTCTTCTCCCGGTCAACCCAGCCAAGTCCGTATTTATGAGCCTGGGGAAGGGTGCTAACGGCCGAACCTACACTCTTGACGGCCAAACGTTATATCCCACACCCTCCTTGAAGGACCTAGGTGTACTCTCGCGCTACGATTTGAAGTCCGTGGACAACACGAACAGGCTATATCGGAACGGACTGCGCATGCTTTGGGCGCTCAAACGCAGCTTCGGCACATGGTCTGAAGAGGTTGCTACTCGCCTGTTCTCTTCTATCATTAGACCAATGCTAGAGTACGGTTCGTCCGCCTACTTTCCGATTACCCGAGGCGAGGCACAAAAGATCGAACGGGTCCAACACGTTGCTACCAGGCTCATCCCGAGTTTACGTGGCTTTGGGTATGAAGACCGGTGCGAAAAACTAGGGCTCTACACTTTGTCCTACCGTCGGGTGCGAGTCGACCTCATTATGACCTACCGAATTCTACATCTTCGTGAGTTCCCCATGCTAAGGCCAATACTGCATTTACGAGGGCCATGCAGCACACGCGGACACAGATACAAACTTGTCGTGCCGGATATGAAATGTGTTCCCCATCCGCTGTGCTTCGAAAGAAGAGTGGTAAACATTTGGAACAGTTTGCCCGAACATGTGATTGAGGCAACATCTGTGCAGCAGTTCAAAACGTTGTTAGATTTGTACTTTGCCTCTATTCGATTCAGAGAACGACTGCACACTTACGATGACATATCACATTTGTGAATCCTGAAATATCGTAAGTCGAATATTTTAAATATTACATGAGAACGACAATGATATTCACGGTTGACAATTTTATAACGTTTTTCGCCATATTTCGAAAGAGTTGTACAGAATCCATTTCTACTTGCTCTATAATACAGTATTCACGTTCAAAACGAGATAGTGATGTAGTGTTAGACAAACGACCAAGCACCCCCCACCCAAAGATGACGTGCCTAACAGTGTTTAGCAAAGTCCAAATGATAAATTTGCAAAATAGCAAACAGCGCACACTGTTAGAGGCTCTCAAATTGCCTTGAGCTTGACCTGCCTTGTTCACCTGCTTCCTAATGCGATAATCTGATTGATCAAATCATTGATTTAGTTTTCATATTGCCTAGTTAATGAATTGGTTGCTCTCTGTACAGGCCTCTACGGGCTTTATTCTCCCCAAAAGATTTTGCTTCGTAATTGCACACGCCTGATGAGAAGTATCGAAAAGAATATTCTTCGCGCATTTGCTTACCTCAAACTAGAAAATGTTTGGCTGAGTATTTATCATTTATATCCAATGGGCTTGTGCTCCACGCGGTTGCAATGTGACAGCGAATTCAAAACTGAGTGCAAAAACTCTTCATCTTAGGCTCGAGGGAAAGTGAGTTTTGAAGCAGCGGACATCCGTGCCTCCTCGTCTCCGACCGGTGTGATAGGTGCGTACTTCGATCGCGATTCAGGTAGCAAGGTCAACTACTCACTAGTCTAAGCCAACGTGCACAGCTGCCGTTCTGTTGCCAAAAAACCACGCGTAAATCTTCGCGAGTTTGTTCTCACGTGTTGTATTTGAACAACAGTACACATGCCGGCTAATCGCGTAGGTAAGGTAGGCGATTTAGACACGTGGGGAGGAGTGAATTGTAGTGACGAATGGAAGGCTTTGTTGAAGCCGAATTACAGGCGGTCTCTAAGAATTGAACGTAATGGGCAGTTCGTTCTCACACGCGATATTGTTGCTGAGACATGCCGCGGACGCCGATCAAGGGCTGCAGAAGGATCTTTAATACATGCAATCCAAACGTGACACTTGCGAGAAAGGCGCTATTACTACTACTATTAGTATTTGTTTCAGGGATACAAGTACTGAAACCTACTTTGACCAGAAATAGACTACCAGCTCAGCGATACACCAGTTGAGGCATGTCGGACACGTGATCACATGGAATTTCGCCCAGATCGGTCCAAAAATGGCGAGATCCTTAATCTGCAACTTATTATCACGGGAATATGGTCGACAATCCGAATGAGCGAATCTGTACCCTACCCAGCAGATGGAACACTTCCGAATGCACCTTGATATACCGGTTTGATGAGAAGAATCGCAACAATAGTTCTCTCTTGTCACTAAACATTTCCAAAGTATCATCGTACCCCCACCATGCGTGCAGCCCCAAGCATTCCGATTAGTGCCGCTTCCATGTAATCGACTACTGAAGCAGAGCACTGCAGCTTTGTGTCAAGCAGTGGCGAGTGCAGACACACAGCAATCGGGTATTACGCATAAGCATCTGGATTTGGCTGGACTAATTCAGTTACCGACTGAGGTTCTGGAAACGAAGCCACCGTAGGTAATAAAATCGAGCCGAGCCAGTGGACTAGGAAGTAAGAATGTAATCCAAAACGTACAATCGGAATGGAGACCGAACGCCGAAGTTGAAACATACCTTGCAATTAGTGTTGGTCGTTTCAACGACACTGACTCAAAACCATTTCACACACAGCCAGGCTGAAGCCAGCTGTCTTGGGACGTCCGTGATGCACCGCCGGTAGTGTTGCAGAAGTCAGTCCTTCAGGGGCGACTGTTTATTCGGCAAAGATAATTCACCGAAATTTACAGCACGTTTGGCAAGGCGAACTCCTCGATATAAGTTACGCGTTCACATCCATCTAACGACCCTTCCGAGGCAATGAGGTTCCTCCTTTGACTTAGTTAAACAAACGATGATTTATTCACACGAATGTCAACCAATCCGTGTCTAGCAATCAAATCAGTTACACCCGCTTCCCAATGGCTAGCTAGCTCGCTCGGTTGGTCCGTCCTTTCATTTTGGTATGACACTGCTATTACAGTTAGTACCCGACTATCTGCAATATGAGACGACACGATACCAGTGCCAGTGTTGGGATGAGCAACATCAAAATATTTCCATTCACATTCGATCCTTGTGATCGGAACGACCGTGGTCCACCACATGTGAACCGAGGTCTCAATAGAGGTTGCTTGTAGCAACCCAACTACACAGCAGGCTCTCAAAGTCCAACTTTGAATTCATTTCCGCTGTACCACGCGTCGTTCACGGATCTCAGTGGCATGGTGTTTATGGCATCAGCCGTGAACCACTAGGCTCTGATTTCCAGCCCAACTCAGGCTATCTCCACCTGATGAGCCCAAAAGAGGACGAAACCGCGGTCGTGGGGTGCCAGTGTTGGGATGAGCAACACCAAAATATTTCCAGACGACACGATACTTCTTGACAGAGAACCTTGCAACACGAGGAATCCTCTGGAACGTGAACCGATGTAGCCGGTTAGTGTTAGAAACTAAGGTCGGCCTGTCAATAGAGTGGCAGTGGTCAACTTATCTTACCGCTCCAACTGACGTACAAGACAGGTGTACAACCCGTCCACAACTCGCAGCCGTTAACGTACCAACCAATTCGCTGGCTCCGATTGACAACAAGCTACTGCTGATAACCTCTGGATAATTCCAGGTAATTGTATGTAAACAATAGGACAGCCACTCACATACATTCGTTGAGTGGGCTACCGCCGTCAACTGTTGCCCATGATCAGTTTCAGTCAGACCACCGCAGTAACTCCAGATGTCCAGAGCTTTTAGATCTCACAATCACCTGTGCTGTGACTCAAATGAGACTGCCGACCAAAGATTGTCTGAATCCGATGAGTACCTGCGTCCTCGTGACAGAAATGCTAAATTCCCTTTGGGACTAGATGTCGACTTGCTGTGCGTTACCCTCGATGACTAGTGTCCAGATGGTCAGCAAAAAAACCCCGTGAAATGTGGAGCGTACTCCCCTCATTTACGTGGTCGATTGTATCCCATTTGTGTAGGTTTACGCGAACAATGAATCTCAACTGTATCGATCCTTAAAAAAACCGCGGCGATTATGGCTGAGTTCCGCGAACAGCAACTAGAGATGTGAAAGAAAGCAGGCGATGCTTTTAGCTACATGATATGCCGACAGCCATGTCGACACTCAGTTGCTCTTGCAAAAATATACCAAGGAATTCGAGGTCATTAAACGCAATTTGCATGTATATTTCTGTAGAAATTTAACTCTGTAGTAGAGAGTATGCAATAGAAGGACTAAAGATAGGTGTCATGAGGGCAGGGGAGGGAGATATGTACAAAAATATACACACACGCGGAGGGAAGAAAGAGTGAAAGCAAGCGACACACGTGCGACAAAGACGAGGAGAGTGAGCAAGAGTCGAAAACCATCATGGGAATTTGGCTGACAAGTACACTGAGTCAGTGCTGGCAAACGGTGAGCACGAAAGTGCTCACCTATCCACGCGCGTGCATGCACGCACACGCAGGACAATCTCGATGAGTCGAAAAAGGAAAAAGAAGTGAAAGTTAGACAAACAGGCAGAAAAGAAACGGAATCAAGCTCATGAAGGAAACCGGTAGGCGACTAGGTGAGTTGTGGTAGTGCCGATTGCGCAAGTCACAGTAGCACAAGTAAAAGCGCACAGCCACTGGGGCGAGGGAGGTTGCGTAAATGCCATTTCGAGCGGAAGGAAGAAGGATGAGGTCGGGTCACAGAACATACACACAAGGCAGTCATCATCATCATCGTCATGACTCGACTCAAATATCTGAAGGAGCACCAAAGTCAAAGATCACGTGGTCTGATGGCGAGTTCACAGACATACAGTCAGAACGGGAATAGGTGCGGAAAACACCCACGGTTGGTCCAAGAGTCTGTCGTCAGAGGATGACAACGTGTAGTGGACAGTTACACAGACTACCAAGGCTCAGGCAACTCGGTCAAAGTGTCCAAATCCGAGACAGGAAAAAAATGCCGTCTTGCACCGAACACATCAATCCAAGGCAGAATGTGAAGGTACTGATCTCCAAGTGTGAGTGAGTACAATTCAGTGAGCGGATATGAGTTGCCATCCTCATCCACAGTACAATTGACACCAGGCCAATTGTCCACTAGAAGACGTGTGATATCGGATTCGGAGAAAGTCGCTCCGCCGGAACTGCGGGTTCCCAAGGGGGTGTAATCTAAACTGGACCAATCAATGTGACTCGGCAGTGGTGGAAGACGGGGCCAGTCGTCCAAATGGTTTGTAATCGGGGGGATATGTACAACGGGTGAGTGGTGATGTGTCTTCTCATCGGATTCTGTTCGATGACGATGTTTATGTCGATGTCTGTGCTTTTCTTTCTTTCGATGACCTTCCTTGACTTGTTGGTTGTCCGAATCGACAGCCACAGTGGTTCGTTCGGCCTCAGCTTTTTGGACTAGATTTAACTCGCCCTTGCTCTCCACGGATACGGGCGCGCTGGGCTCACCGAAGGTGGTACGATTTTTGGTACATGTCGCCAATTCGGAGGTCTGGTGGTGGTGGTGGGATGTGAGTGGTGATTCCGACCTGGCCATTGGCTGCGCAGTCGTAGCAGGTTTGGATGGAGCTGGAGATGGAGCCTGCGTCGGACCACGTGTGCGCGGTGAAGGGCCCACGCGATGGACACCAGCACTGGATGATGTTGGGCGTGACTGCTTTGATTTCATGAGAAGTGGAATGACCGAAGGTCTGGGTGGATCCGCCTCTTTGCTAATTCGATTGGTCAGAATGCGATCGGCAGTCGCTGAATCAATGCAATCGCCAGCAGCTTGAACCAACTCGGCGGTAGATTTGACTTTGGCCAGCCGGACTGCATTGCGATTAGCGTCCACTTTGGCAGATTCCGAAGGCGTCGATGGCTTTTCCCCAATATGTCGAGCTGGAATGATGGAAGTAGTTGATTTGGTGGGAAAAAGTGTGTTTTGTTTGGATAATTGGGATGTGCGTGTGCTTGGAGTCGGACGTTGTGTACCGTTCACTAGGGACTCTGGATGAACTGTTGTTGGGGGCTTGGCAGTGGATATGGTGGTCACGGGGGACAAGGAATAGGGGTAGGAATTGTCGTGCGCCTTGAACCGTTTGTTGGGTGTGGTGGCACATGGCGGAGTGTTAGGCATCTGTGCGGAAGTCACTGGCCCAGATGTTCCGAGGGTTATGGATGAGTGAGTACGTTTCAACGGCCGTGATGCAGAATTCGGAGGTATGGCAGCTGCACCGTCGGTTTGGCGAACTGGGAAAGCGGTAGATGGCACAGAAGTGAGCGGGCTTTGCGATGTGCGAGCCACATTGTCTCTCGCGATAAAGGTCAAAGAGGCCCCATTCGATTTCCGATGCTCAGAGGCAGTTGAGGAGGAAACAGCAGGGGCAGCGGATGTGACCATAGTGCTGCATTTGATTGGGATCACAGACAATGAGGCGAACTCAGGTGATAGTAGTTTCTGCCAAGCCCGAATAACAGAACGAATGCGTTTCTGCAGTGGAGCATCCACCTTGTGCCGGATGGTCTGTAGGAGCTGGCCAATCCGAGTTTCCTGCAGTTGACCCATTGTCATGGGGAACGTTTCCAGTTGACTGACAGCGTCCACCACAGCGTTTACATTCGTCACCTAATGGAAAAACAGCGAGAGGAATGAATGCTGTAAATATACATCAGTGTGAGTGGAAACAGCAGTTAAGCGAGAGAAGAACTGATAGCACAAGTGTTTCATTTATTATGTATAGTTCACGAAATTTCCAAGACAAGTCATGGCGCATGGGAGTGTGCATTGCTCAGGAAAACAAGGATATCCTAATTAACTAAGCAACTTCGGAATCCGCAGTACAAAAGGATGGGTAAAGATGGAGAGAAAATACTGTCGACACAACGCGAACCCACCCTGTTCTCTAAGCAAGAGTTTTTCGCTTTTACTAAGTGGATTAGTCATATTTCTCATTCCTGCCCCCAACACTGTCACATCCTTCGATCGACAGTACGCGGACTGATGACGCCGACGGCCTACGAAAACATGGGCACATCGATATGTCGGATAAATGAGATGTCTTTGACTTGTTCTTCATCTACACTGCTCTGTACTGCACTCTTACTTGGCTTGAACACCCACTGATGGCTTATAAAACATGCGCACACGGGTGGGTTGGACAGACTAGCTTAATTTATGGCCTTTATCCCCCCGTGCCTAATCAGATAAAAGAGTTGAGTGCCTGCAGGATGTGGACCTACTGATGCTTTCTCAACAAACAACCTAATTTATAAACAATTTCATTTGTCCTCTGTTATTAAACCCTGCCGCCTGTGTGAGGCATGTCGTTTGATTAAATTGAGTTGAATGGTCCATAATGGTGATACTTCTTAGTTTAACCGCTATTTTTAAAATTATCGTTATACACCAATGCTAAAAATGCTCCTAATCACCCTGCCAAATGTGCATATTCTTACTTTACGTCCTTAATTGTTGCCATTTTTTCCCGTTGCTACAGTCCTTCTAAAGGTATCGGAACGGTTCGCAATCACTGTCCATTCGGAATTCTTGTTGCAACGAAAGTTTATGGAGCAAGAATCAACGGAAAATCAGTTACACTTGTATAGAAGTCCGGTAATTTCAGTTTGCACTTATTTCACTATTTCATCGGATAGGCTTTGTTGTGCCGTGTCTCAGCTAGTTGGGAATACACCAATTATTATTACCATTATCCAACATAGGGTTGAACAAGAACGACTACAATGAAGTGCCAGTATGTTCAAGATTTCAGCAGTATGTATGTATGCAACCTCAACAATCTATTAACTAGACATAGAGCCACCATAAAACCATGGAGATCAGCAGATAAGTAAGATTCATCGCGTCGTAACCATCGTGGCATGCTAGTTGAAGGTGAGCAACACACTTCAACTAATATGCCACAGGAAGAATGGAACATTTCGATAAAAAGTAGAACAAAACATTTTTAGTTTGTTTTTCACACGCCGCTTTTGCTCTTTTTTGTCATTTTAATCTTTGTAATATTAATCATGTGAATCAATACAATACTGTACACAATTCTTCCATTGATTCCGGTTGCGGGCCATATCTTCAAGAGTGCTAAGCCATTGGCACTCCTCATCTTTGGGTCCCCATCCTGGAAGACGTATGGATCCAACAGCGGATAGACACGACGTCAGCGATTTCATGTGCTGCCGCCAAGTGGAAGGCTGACCACCACGCGGTCGCCTCCAGCCAGGTCCTTGACGAGGGAATAGTGCGCGACGCGGTAGACGCTCAGGTGCCATGCGTAGGACGTGACCGAGCCATTTTAACTGGCGCAACAAAACCAGTTTGTTGAAGGGAATACTCGCATTCCCCAAGATTTCAGCAGTCGTCCGGATGTTAACTTGAGTGAACACCCGAGGGGGACAGAAGCAAGCAAATGAGGTATAAAAGTGATTGATGCTATTCGAGCACTGATGCACCATACAACACAGCCCCTGTCTCAAAGTATCCAGGGTCGGCTGTCGACTGGAAAAGCCCTCTGGCCTGGAATATACAAGTCAGTTAAATCTCGCGTTGATGAGGAGGAATTCGTAATACCTCTAGCCTGCATGCAACTGGTGGTGGTGGTCGTCGTCGTATTGTGGCGAAGCGTCGCTACTAAATGCCGACGCGGTGTTGATACCTTCGAATATCAAGCGTTCAATATGTCTACATCTTACGGAAGATAAACACCAGTTAGCATGGAAATAGATGGGTGTTGCTCATCCCAACACTGGCACACCACAACCGCGGTTTCATCGTGGTTTGGACTCGTCAGGTGGCGATAGTGTGAGCTGGGGTGGAACTCAGAGCTTAGTAGTTCACGACTGACGCCCTGAACCACATAGCGTGTTCACCGGTTAGCATGTTACGCCACCCATGCTGCAAATGGAGTGACCGAATACCTAGATAAAAAGGAGACAGATGGATGCACGCAGTGCGGTTTGTACCGTTAGGAGTGCGCTAGTCGCTAGCGCTCATGCTCAATTGTGAGTGGCAAAACCCTTGTGATACGAAACAAATAGAGGGTTGCAGATCGCAGCAGCTAAAAAGAAAACACGGGGCTAGCTGTCAAGAAAACTAAGGACTGTAACAAGGAAAGATGCTTCAGAATAATATGGCCACAGACCACGACGCACCATGTGAACAGAGTGTAGTGCGGGCCAGAAGTGAAAAATACAGCTCATCAGCGCCAACGGAACCTAATTAGCGGGAACGAGCAAGAAGGAATTGTGGTGCGGCGATCCGATAGGGGACAGACACACATGGCTCAATTAAGGTCAGATCCGAGTGAAAAGCTCACATTGGAAGGCAATCGCTTTGACAGTAATCCTTAATCAATTCCCAACAGGTGCAGATACAACACGCGAAAAATGGAATCACACCCAATTAAATGGCAAATTCGGTGCTTTGAATAAGAAAACAACCTACGATACACCACTGACTAGTAAGCAACAAAGGAAAGACGAACCAATTCAACCATTACCATCGTATACAACAAGGACAAAACAGCGACAGCAGTACATCAGCACTCTAACACAACTAGAAAATCCCGGCTAAGGAGGAATAATAAGAGCGTGGAAAACTAGGGCAAGACCTCAGTATCTTGAGCAAACATTAAGGGTCGATGCATCTACATCGTGTCAGTCCTAGTAATCCAACGTTCCGCTGAGGACACAGACTTCGAAATGAACTGAAGATATTTCCAAAGTGATCACTTCTCTGCCTGTTTTACACTGCCCCAACTTGGTAAAAATGTCCGGAACGATAGTAACAAAAAACCTGTTAAAACATAAAAGCAGCAAGCAAGCCACCCCCCACCCCCCAATCTGACCGGAATCACGCTCGCTGTAATGTGGTGGATATGGCAGTACAAACCTTTGCAAACTATGGGCTAGTGATGTGAATTTAGTGATGTACATCCCGGAAAAAAGAATAAAGACAGATAAGACCAGGTGTGAAAAAGTACGGGAGATGATGGACGCTGAATGATTAGGGTAAGGAAAAAAATTGAAGAGTGTAAAATGGTGTCGTCAAAAGAAGCCAACAATTTGTGATATCCGCCATACAGCCAAATTTCCGGAGCTAGGATAAACTGTTTAACCGTCACTTAGCGGGGTGCCCTACACAAACACAACAGTACTTTGTATCAGTGTTCAGTTGCTGTGAAACCAAAAGCAATATTACGCGCGTTGGGATAATGCGTGGCGCCCATACCGATGCAGAATCAGGGGCTTGAACGCTGAAAGTAAAGGCTGCGAGTCAAACGCCTGAACTACTACGATCCATATAACGTCAGTCAGAGCCGTTACAGAAAAGCAGTTCCCTATTGAAAAGATACCGAGGCACTTTAAAATCTATCTGCCGCGTTCAATGGATCGTGATCAGAAACGTCTGAAAATTAGCTGGTGAAGTGCCGATATATCCTGGGAAATAATAGCCTCAGAGATCCCAATTCCGCAGGCTAGCTACAAAGCCTAACGATAGAGCAATCGTCAGAGGTTGCCCCAGTAAAGTAAAACGCAAAGGCCGATTAACAAAAAGAACCAATTAAAGTGAGAGGTACGCCGGGAGCGTTGAATATCAGCCCAAATATGGCGGACGTTCCAGTCGACTCGTCACACCGTGGTGGACGGCGTGAAAGGCAAAAAAGGTATCAAGAGTACACCGGTACGCAGTATCGACGCTTCGTTGCCGCGCAACCACCATAAGTCGCACGTGGGCTAATTATAATGCGAGTCGCTCGGTCCCCACGTAGGCTCGAACCCGCGTCCTCGTATTACAAGGCAGGCTTGTGATCCTTAAGGCTACGAGCAGGTGGTCGATGGCGTAACTGAAGATACATCATCAATTGCGTCGTTCATCATCATAGACGTCAGCTAGAGGTGGAAAACACATCAGATATTGTGCCGTAATACATAAGACACATGTAACAGAGACACGCCAATTGAGCCACTAGTAACGAATAAACATCGTTCTGGAGAACAACCAGCCCGCTATCGGGCCGCAAAAAAGTTACATTAGGCCTAGTAAATGAGATCGTGGTAGAAGAGAGAGGGACAAAGAAACTCATAACACAAGCGCCATTAAGGTCGGTACCTTGATATGTCAACAAGTGTATCAAGTCAAACGTGTTCATCATTTTGCGGACGCCAACCAGGGAGACGAGAAGCTTCAACGGAGACAAACTAAGTAATAATAATGTCAGCTGTACGACGTAACGGCGCTTTGCTGCCGCGCGACTACCACCAGTCGCGCGCGGGCTGAGTATATCGCGCGGACGCCTACGCCACCACTACGAAGTAAGGGCCTTCATTCCTCTCGACCAAGTCATCGCTTGGCCACCTCGCTTCTACTTCCATCCACAGCCCCGGCAAGCAACCAACGAACATCGCTGGAGTCGTTGGGCTGGCATGCTTAACACGCGGCCCAGCCATTGGAGCATGGTGTGTGATATAACGGTGCTGAGCGGTCCACTTCTGCCTGTGCCATAAACAGGGCGCCGAACACGGTCTTCCCACCAGATATGAGCCAAATTGCGAAGACACCGGTGGTGGAATTTAACTCGCCACTTTATGTCGGCTGATCTAATGGGCGAA